GGTGACATTTTTCCTCATTTTATTGTATTTTCTTGGCTGCCGGCTATACAAGCATGTTCTTATCAACTCTGCTTCTTTTTCAGTTTCAAAAAGACACATCTCCACTTTCTCTTCCAGCTTTTAGTTTAGGAATCAACTCGTCCTTTGCCAGTATAATCCCTGTTTATGAACATGCTACATCTTCCTGTTTTTTGTGGTTGCTGTCCTTGCTAAATAGTAAATAGACTGGTTATTATAGCGCACTTTTCTACTCTATCAGAGCACTCAAAATGCTTCATACAATTTGCTTCGTTCACATTTGTTCAGACAAGCACTTTTTTTTCAAAGCGTAAGTGCCTTCTATTCATACACATTTATACTCTGAAGGAAGTGTAAGGATATTTGGCATGCAGACTGAGAAGAGCCAGGCACCAAACCACCAACCTTCTGATGTAGATGACCCGCTCTGCATCCTGAGCTACTTTCATTTGATGACACTGTCATCTGAGCAGCTTTTCGCTATACAAATACAGGCCATTTTTACCATAACAGTGTTTTGTGAAAGGTCCAAATAAAACCAGCTGTATTCATATCTGTATAATGTATTCATTTTCATTTCAGTCAGAATCAGAGTCATTAAAAGAATAAGTAAATCTTGGGTGGACAATGACACGTGTAAATGATAATGGTCACGAGCAGCTTCATTAGTAATTAATCCTTTGAGACTGCTAAATGATGGCTTCATATTAAATACACATAATGACACCTACAGCACATCCATGCTGTCTTTCATCGGTGGCAGAGGAAGAAACCAGAGCTGTGTAGGTGATCATTTCTGGCTGAAATATATCTGCAACACTGCAGGACATCGTTATGAACACAAGAGGACACTCACACACTTCAGCAAAGGAGAGTGAGCGCATTTGTGTGTGTGTGTGTGTGTGTGTTTAGCTCACAGTCACTGAACTGAACTGTAAAAATAACATTTTCAAGATCAGAAGAAATCCTTGGTGTGAAGATTAATCTTAGATTTCAGGCAAGTATTAGTTACATCTAATGAGTGCAGAGGCTGTACTGATGTGTATCTGTCTTGATACACATGTTGCTCTGTGTAATGTTAGAAAATAAGCAGTGACAGCTGTAATGCCTTAGTAATGAGCCCACTGTGATCCTTATTACTTAAGAGTCTTTACCTTACAGTACAAAGGTCATTGAGGGGACCTTTGATTTGGTGCTTTCTAAATAAACTTGAACTGAGTTAAACTGAATCCAAAGCATTTAAAAGAATGAACAGTTCACAGGCACCAGGTGAAAATTTAAAGGAAAACTCTCCGGTATTGTGTTTCACTTTTCTTTATAGAGTCCTTGCTGAGTCAGCACATACCTGACTTAGTCTTTTCTGTTATGTGTCACCTGTTAATAAACTAATCTACACACGCTGTGGATTTCATCAGGAGGTCCCAGTGCCCTTTGCAGATCATAAGTCCGTCATCGAGCAGGTTCTTAACTGATGAGAGGTACGAACACAGTTTTGAAGAAGAACACTGATGTGGCTCTCAGACCTGCACGGAGCACAGGAACACCCACACACACCCACTGATCCTTTTGGTCCTGTTGACTGTCAGGCATGTATTTTGTTTTCCTCTTTCTCTCTCAGGTGGCGAGTCTGGCTGGCTTTGTGGTTGCTCCACCTGCAAGTGAAGCCCTCGTGTTAACAGGCTCCAGCTGCCACACCAGTTACCACTTTTTTATTAACCACAGTATTCAGGGGCTGGTTTGAGCTGCAATGTTCTGTATCTGCTGGTTTCATTTTCTGATCCTGTGCTCTGGTTTGCCCCTGGTGAAAAGGTTTATGTAATCTTTGTGGCAAAAGAGAACTGTTGAGCGATTTTAGATGTTGTGGTTGCATCTTAACCGTGCAGTCCTCTAACCGAGGTAGCAGTTTAAACAGAATCAGGATTCATAACAAAGGTTTTGAACATAACTTTTGTGTGATTAAGAACTCAAAACCCCACTGCATTATTTACTCCTTTGCTGGATACTGAATCTTTTAGAAGAGTCATTTAACAGCTTTTTGGAGGCACTGCATTTGTTGGACTTGTTGGATTCAAAACATTCCTAGAGCTTTAGAAAACAATCATCTTCTACCACAGTCTCCTTGATTTTATAAAGACTTTGCACTAAAGTAACACACTGCAGCAGTGTAGGGTAATGACACTGGGTCCAGGGATTTCATCCTGAAACTTGGCAGTCAGGGTGCTGCTGCCTGTCTCCTGTAACCTTGTGCATGCTTGTGAGACACAGCAAACCTTCTTTCCCACCACATCAATATTTAAACTGCACATCAATATGTGAGATGGCAAGTATTGACGTGGCATCTTAATCTAAACTTCCTACAGAGAAATAACAAGATAACAACACATAACTCACTCTTGATTATAATAACTAAGAATTCAAGGCAGAAAGCAAGGCACATGGCTGTGGGGCTGTGACAGAGCTGGCAGAAGATCCTTAAATATTGTCTGAGTCTAGTCTCTAGTTTATGCAATCCCCAATTTCCCATCAGCTTTGCTGCATCAATTTTAACTTTGCTGGGCACTTAGTGATTCTTTCTGTTTTGTTTCCTTTTTGCATCAGGGTATTGTTTACCCTCACTTTTACCAGCCACACTACACACAGAAGTGGGGGTAACAAAACATCCCTACTTAAACTTGTTTTAAGGGTTAGCCTAGCTTGCCAAAGAACATTTTTTAGTCATTTAAAACTCTATCAGTATATTAGCTATACCTAGCATACTTTTTAGCCGTCCTACTACTGAACTGTTAGGATTCCACTCAGCAGTTATTATCTTCCTTCTGGACAAAAAACAGCTCTAGAGAGATTTAAACTGAACTTGAACCCATGAAACATGAAACATCTATTCATGGCCCAGTTTTCAAAATGATCATTAATAAAGTCAGGCCTGAAGTTTTCAAAAAAGACTCATGTTAAAATGTTTTCTATTGTCCTCAGCAGTTGTATCAGAGGCAGTCCTTTTTTTCTTAAGGTGATATTTTAAGAACATAAAGCTGCATGCAAAGTGTTGTGAGAGAATCACTTCTTTATTTAAGCGCGGGGGTTTACAGGTTTAAAGTCTGTTCATGCATGTTAAGCATGTACAGAGGAAGGAAGACAGCCAGATAACTCTGTTACATTTTCCAACCACAGAGAGCACGGTCTTCAGAGACAGCATCTTCAACACTGGCAGAAATTGTGGCTGGTTTACAACATGTTACATGTTGTGTGATCTACCTGCTGATGGGATTCATGAGACGAGAGGAGCAGCCATGAGTTCAACTGCAGCAGCAACTGGATTGGTTCTCTTCCTTCTCTCGCTGCCAGGTAATTCTGTAATAGTAAGTCAGTCTTGAGGTAGATCACAACTGAACTGTTTTTGATTGGTTTTTACACCACACCATCTGCAGCACATAGCTGTTAAAGGTTTGCATTTCCAATACTGCAAATGAATACAGATTGTAGAAAAGTTTTTTTTATTTATTGTCTCCACTGCATTTAATGGACAAATACAATTTTCAGGCTGCTTTAACTTGGGTTGAAGTTTCTTAACAGAAACTAACAGATAAACAGAAAGTGAATTCCCAGCCATTTTCTTTTCTTTTCTTTTCTTTTCTTTTCTTTTCTTTTCTTTTCTTTTCTTTTCTTTTCTTTTCTTTTCTTTTCTTTGTTTTTTGCACAAACACATAGTTCCTGGTTCCTAAACATGTTTTGTAAATTATATTGTGAGATAAATTCTAGGCACACAGCGAAATTTGTATGTCACCTGAATAATTTACTACACTATATAATGGCCCTTTCATGCCACTGCAATTTATTTTACATGGACAACATTTGACAACATTTTGTCATATTTCTGTAATGGATGTATTATGCAAATTGTTATATTTGTAATAACAAACCCACAGATACCATTATTATTATCTTGTTTTTGATTTACTGATTTACTGTTTTGAGTTTAATTCCACCATCAGGCCGGGGTCTTTCTGTGTGGAGTTTGCATGTTCTCCCCGTGTTTGCGTGGGTTCTCTCCGGGTACTCTGGCTTCCTCCCACAGTCCAAAGACATGCAGTTAGTGGGGATAGGTTAATTGGAAACACTAAATTGCCCATAGGGTGAATGCGGGAGAATGTGAGTGAATGGTTATCTCTGTCTATGTATTAGTCCTGCAACAGACCTGCGACCTGTCCAGGGTGTACCCTGCCTCTTGCCCTAAGACAGCTGGTATAGGCTGCAGCCCCCTGCCAGCGAATGGATGGATGTACTTACTGTTTTGACTCATTCTCACAGCCTGCAAAGACTTGTTTTCAAAGAAAAATCACATCATTAACTCACTCAGAAATTGACTGGATGAAGACTTCTGAATGGACATGATCTCGCATATGTAAACAACAAGAACAACAAAAACAAAAATACCTTCCTAAATACTTAATACCATATGCATGATAAAAAATCTCAGGAACAATAAATCTGTGCTGCTTATTCTGAGAAAAGGTTCTCAGAACTTTTACTGAAACAATATGTTTGTTGTTGCCATTAATCTAGTTTCTGATGTGTTCTGTGTTACAGTGGTACAGAGTCAGAATGATTATGCAGTGACTTACACTTCTACTCAGATCTGTGCCTTTAAAGGATCAACAGTGGACATAGGCTGCTCCTTCAAACACCCTTCAAGAGTAATTGTGTTAAAAAGAGTTTGGTTCACTAAAGGGAACAATTATAATCCTGAAGATCTGAAAACAGACCCAGCGTATGCAGGTCGAGTGTCGTACAGTTCTGACTGGAAGGGCTACACTCTGACAATCAGAGACCTGAGAGAGAGCGACTCAACTGTGTACAAGTTCAGGTTTGAAACAGACTGGAAAGGTTTTATTGGTTTACCTGGAGTCACTCTGACTGTCACAGGTAACATTTTTAATTACACATCAGTCAAACCTTGTTATGAACATAACTGTGTGTGTTTGCGTATGGATAATGGATGTTAAAATTTCTCCTCTGATATTATTTCTTGACATAATCAGCTCTTCGGGTACACGTGGACAAATCATATTCCAACTGGGCAACACTGACTTGTCAGAGTAGTTGTCGACTAAATTATCATCCCTCCTACATCTGGTACAAAAATGGACACAGGGTTTCTGGTAGAAACCAGTATCGGTATACAGACAATCTGAATCCTTCAGATAGCTACTCCTGTGCTGTAAGAGGTCATGAAGATTTCTCCTCTCCTTCAGTGTGTGAGTTTATTTCAGTAACATAAAACCATCTCATAGAGTCATTACATACATCTGAATAAAAACAGTCAAACTCACAGTAACTACTTTCTAAATCTGACTTAAAAATCATTTAATGTTTCAGGTGTCCAAGATGATTCATGCAACAGAGTGAATTACAGCAACAGAAGAATCTGTGCAGTCAAAGGATCATCAGTGGACATTTCTTGTACTTACAACAGTTATGAAAGTCCAATCCAATCAAAGTCCTGGTTCTGTTCTGGTCGTGGATCTGAGGATCTCACAGAAGACTCCCAGTATGCAGGTCGTGTTCAGGTGACTGAAACAGAGAGAGGACGCTCCACTCTGAGAATCAGAGACCTGACAGAGAGTGATTCAGCCAAGTATCACTTCAAATTCAAGACACAAAGCTTTGAATGGAAGAGTAGTTTACCTGGAACAACTCTGACTGTCACAGGTACTGATCAACACACACTGATGGATATTTAATCAGGAACAACTTTATACTTTATCTGCATATATATATATATATATATATATATATATATATATATATATATATATATATATATATATATATATATATATACATATATATATGTGTATATATATATATATATATATATATATATACACACATATATATATATATATATATATATATATATACACACATATATGTATATACATATACTGCACTTTCACTTTTAACTTTTGAGGGATTTCACGTTTACACTTTGAGAGAATGATCATTTTCATGAATTCATCTACTCAGAACTGAATTCCCTATTATGACTCCTTCAGTGTGAGAGTGACTGACATCTTATTTATTGTTTCTTGTCCACTGGTCAAGATGTTCAGGTCAGAGGGTTCAATGGACGACAGTTGGATTGTGTCACCAGATGTGATCCTTATGTTTCTTATGTCTGGTACAAAAATGGGCAACAAGTGAATGGAGCCAGCTCTTCTTCTTATGACGTGTCACGTGACACTTCAAACAGCTACACATATCAAAGGTCATATGACAATAAAAACAGCTACTCATGTGCTTTAAAAGGATTTGAGGATTTTCACTCTTCGTTAGTTTGTGAGTTCACTTTGAGGTTTTACGTGAATTAAAACTTCTTATCTGGGTAATAATTAATGTCATGTTCTGTCATTAAATTTGTTTTAAAATGTTTTAATTGTAATTTTTCAGGTACACAGGGTCAACGGTGCAACAAAGTGAATTACAGTAAAAGAAAAATCTGTGCATTCAAAGGCTCATCAGTGGACATTTCATGTACTTACAACAGTTATGAAAGTTCAATCCAATCAAAGTCCTGGTTCCGTTCTGGTCGTGGATCTGAGGATCTCACAGAAGACTCCCAGTATAAAGATCGTGCTGAGGTGACTGAAACAGACCGAGGACGCTCCACTCTGAGAATCAGAGACCTGACAGAGAGTGATTCAGCCGAGTATCACTTCAAATTCAAAACACAAAGCTTTGAATGGGGGAGTAGTTTACCTGGAACAACTCTGACTGTCACAGGTACTGATCAACACACACTGATGGATATTTAATCAGGAACAACTTTATACTTTATCTGCATATATATATATATATATATATATATATATATATATATATATATATGTATATATATGTATATGTATATATATGTATATGTATATATGTGTATATATATATATATATATATATACACACATATATATATATATATATATATATATATATATATATACATATACTGCACTTTCACTTTTAACTTTTGAGGGATTTCATGTTTACACTTTGAGAGAATGATCATTTTCATGAATTCATCTACTCAGAACTGAATTCCCTATTATGACTCCTTCAGTGTGAGAGTGACTGACATCTTATTTATTGTTTCTTGTCCACTGGTCAAGATGTTCAGGTCAGAGGGTTCAATGGACGACAGTTGGATTGTGTCACCAGATGTGATCCTTATGTTTCTTATGTCTGGTACAAAAATGGGCAACAAGTGAATGGAGCCAGCTCTTCTTCTTATGACGTGTCACGTGACACTTCAAACAGCTACACATATCAAAGGTCATATGACAATAAAAACAGCTACTCATGTGCTTTAAAAGGATTTGAGGATTTTCACTCTTCGTTAGTTTGTGAGTTCACTTTGAGGTTTTACGTGAATTAAAACTTCTTATCTGGGTAATAATTAATGTCATGTTCTGTCATTAAATTTGTTTTAAAATGTTTTAATTGTAATTTTTCAGGTACACAGGGTCAACGGTGCAACAAAGTGAATTACAGTAAAAGAAAAATCTGTGCATTCAAAGGCTCATCAGTGGACATTTCATGTACTTACAACAGTTATGAAAGTTCAATCCAATCAAAGTCCTGGTTCCGTTCTGGTCGTGGATCTGAGGATCTCACAGAAGACTCCCAGTATGCAGGTCGTGCTGAGGTGACTGAAACAGAGCGAGGACTCTCCACTCTGAGAATCAGAGACCTGACAGAGAGTGATTCAGCCGAGTATCACTTCAAATTCAAGACACAAAGCTTTGATTGGAAGAGTAGTTTACCTGGAACAACTCTGACTGTCACAGGTACTGATCAACACACAGTGACTCATAATTTCATTCAGTTGAATTTTACAAACTGAATCTTGTGTTGTTAATTATTTACTTGTTGGTGTCTTTGTCGTTTGACTATTTAACAATGTGAATACTTTAATTTCACACAGCTCTGCAGGTGAAGGTGAGCAGAATAATACCAGTCCATGAGTGTCAGACTGAGGCAGAGCTGAAGTGTGAAAGCAGCTGCAGTCCAGCTGGTCGTCTTTCTTTCATCTGGTTCAAGAACGGACAGAAAAACACAAAACAGCAAACTTCTACTTATACAGACTGCTTTTATCCTGGAGACAACATCTCCTGTGCTTTCACAGGATATGAGGATTACCACTCTCCACCAGTGTGTGAGTTCACTTCATGATTCAGTCACAGACTTTTATCATTCTGACAGATTATAAATAACTTCAAAGTGACGATAGTTCGAGTCAGGTTCACAAAATTGAAACCTTCTTTCAGTTTTGTGTGTGTTCGTGATCAGAGGACAGGATATATCAGCTCCTTTCACTGCCCAGCTGTAGGCTACTGCATAGTGAAGATATCATATACTCTAATGAAAGACGGCCGTACGCCGAACGATTTTTGAGCAGGAAATCTGCTTCATGTAAGGAAACAAGGAGCTCTTCCTTTGGAAGTTTGGAAAGATCGTTCATCGTTCTCTCACTGCCAGGCCTATTTCATGTGACTTTTTTTTTTCTTCATAATTCAGGAACATGATGATTCTGCAGTCACAATATGGATATCAATGTTAAACGTGTGATAAATAAGAGTTAACTAAACTTGAACTAATTACCCATTTCAAACCAAACTGTCACAGTTCTGGGTCATTTTGACCCAGCATTTTCTGTTTCTTATATTTTGATGTTTTTCTAGACCAGGGGTCGGCAACCTTTCTGATGACGAGTGCCATTTAAAATTTCCTCAGAAGTCAGTGTGCCATATGATTGCATTAGCAATAAATTGAATAACGCGCTATATGAACAGTTACACAATATATAGAACCACTTTCTAGAATTATATTTGTTTGCAGATGTTGGCAGCTGTCAGCGAATAGTTATCAGCTATTTTGAAACAAAAAAAAGACACTTTTTATCCATAACAGCAAATGAACTGTACAACAGAAAATACAAATGTTATTTATGGTCTCCTCACAACGATGATAAGAAAAATAAACTAAGCCAATATAGCATGTCTGTTAATACAAAGACACACATGTTAATGTGATCTCTGGTCTCCCACTCAGAGACACAGGTCTCTGAGTGCCCATTCACATGGCTACCTGAGGACACTCCTCATGTGAGAGAAAATCTGCTCACACAGATATTTAGAGCCAAATACTGTCAATGAGGCCTCTGCAATGTTCTAAAGACAGTTAAGCTTGTCAGGTAGTGATGTCCAGCAGGTGAAAATGCAGCTCCATGAACACACACAGCTGTGGATTCCAGCTGCTTCGATGTCGCATTAACTGGTATTAACTCAGCCAGTTAATGCGAGACAAATCCAGCTGCTCATTAAAGATCTCTGGTTTGATCAGAAAATAAAACATTGGTCCATACACCTGAAAGTCCCAATTTGCAGTGTGCACCGAGGTGCGGCCATTTATTTTTTGATGCACCTTCTCAGATTAATTCCCTGGGTGTCGTGCCCAGGGCTGGACTGGGACAAAAAATCAGCGCGGGCATTTTGACTAAAGACCTGCCCACCAGGTATTAAAGCCATAAAGCCTTTGAATGAAAACAAACGCTGTTGTGACAGTGATGTACACTGTCTTGTTGGTATATGTATGATTTCTATACATTTTACATCAGATAACACCTTTGGTTGTAAGATTCAGATAATTATTTAATAACAGCTAGACATTTTAAATGAGAATAAGAAAGTACATCTTTGTGCCCCCCTTTCCCTGTTAATGCTCTACCTGCCCCCCCTGGCAAAACTTTGCTAGACCCGCCCCTGCACAGTTACCAGCTGTCAGCTACTTAGAAACAGATCCTGGTGTTATTTCTCAGAAACAGTTCATAACTTCCCTTCAACTCATTCATGTCACCTAAAAGGTAAACCTGTTTCTCCATCACCTGTTCAGCTCTGATGATTCAGTAAGGACATCTCCTGATTTCATGTTTCCCTCTCGCCACATATCCAAACCGATATCATGACCAGCAGCTTTTACAGCTGTGGCTCCAGCAAACATCAGCTGATACTAGAAAGTAATCCATCCATTCGCTTCCGCTTATCCTTTTCAGGGTCGCGGGGGGCGCTGGAGCCTATCCCAGCTGTCATAGGGCAAGAGGCGGGGTACACCCTGGACAGGTCGCCAGTCTGTCGCAGGGCTAACACAAAGGGACAGACAACCATTCGCACATTCACACCTAGTGGCAATTTGGATTATCCAGTTAACCTATCCCCACAAGCTGCATGTCTTTGGACAGTGGGAGGAAGCCGGAGTACCGGAGAGAACCCACGCAAACACGGGGAGAACATGCAAACTCCACACAGAAAGACCCCGGCCTGATGGTGGAATTGAACTCAGGACCTTCTTGCTGTGCGGCAACAGTGCTAACCACCTTGCCACCGTGCTGCCCACTAGAAAGTAATATTAAATAAATTCTAACAACAGCTGATCAAGCTTAAATGTGCTGCTGTTGTTTAGTGCGACATCCGGCGGTTTCTTCTTTCTGGCGCAAAGTGGCGATAAACAAACAAGAGAGAAAAGCCAATCAGCTGATCATTGATCAGTTTCATGATTAAAGTAGCAACAGGTGAGGGAGGGGGAAAGAATGAGGCAGCTGTGCAGCGTCACGACACAGAATAACTCCAGCTTTGTCCCATACTTCAGCTAGAATGTAAAAAAAACCACACAAACTGCATCCCTTCTCAGCTCAACACGAAACACAAATATTGTCTCTGAATGCGGGAGGATTCCGTCTTTTTACGGGACAGTTGGCAACTCTACTAACTAACCTTATAAATAAAATAAAGTTCACTATCAGTAACATCATAGCACCCACCCAGCTGTATAGAAAATCCATCATGCTAGCTAGTATGCAGTACGAGTTATTGTAACTGACTGTAGAAAGTCAGCACAACGAAAATAAACTCCACCTAAACTTGGTTTATATCTGACCCAGACAGACTGCAGGTCATAACTTCTTACCTGAAGTTCAGTTCAAACTCGGACCAGCGGCCACCTTGGGTCTCTCCTCCTCCTGCCTCCCCTTTCCCTCATCCACCTGTTGGCTTCCACCACTTGCTAATGTTACTGAATCTGTGGAAGCTCCACCACAGCCACCACCAAACAACTGAGTTATTTTTTACACACCGGCCAGCATCTGGCCAATCCACCACCTTTCATTGTTTATACCGTTACAATAAAAAATTTAAAAAAATAATCTGGCCACCCAGCAAATGCCCGATGGCCAGTCCAGCTATGGTCGTGCCATCAGTTAACCCTTCGCGTGCCAACTGTGGCACACGTGCCTAGGGTTGCAGACCCCTGTTCTAGATTATATTTATGTTCTAAATCATAATCTAGCCCTGCAAGGGACATGGGAGAAAAAAAATTACGATGAACTTTTGCGAGATCTCGCAAAACTAACTCGGGATCTCGCAAAAGTTTTGCAAAAGTTGAATTCCAACAATGGCGGCAGCTACTTAGTTGTACTATTACTCTTTCTGGGTCACAAAATAAACTTTTAAGAGATTTTGAGGTGTGAATGTAGCTGTTTAAACGTCAAATATCTGCTCGGTTTACAAGACATCACATATTTGCAAAAGTGCTCTGACGTTTTTGGAGATGTCTGACACCCACCATCTCGAAGCTAACGGGAGGTTGAGACCTACTACAGCCGGGGGGAACACCGCTCTCCCGGCACATCGTGCTTCGAACTCCCGGTCGGCTTCGAGCAGGCGGTCTCCGAAATGTTTTCACTTTTGCGAGATCCCGAGTTTGTTTTGCGAGATCTCGCAAAAGTCCGTCTTAATTTTTTTTTCTCCCATGTCCCTTGCGGGGCTCCGTAATGTTATGATTCTCAAGATATGCTTTTTTGCTTATTATTATTCTAGGTTTCAGTTTGGTTCTGGTTATAAGTTTAGTTTGATGTTAATTCTTCTTTTAGTCTCTGTCGTCTTTGGGTTCCCTGTGTTATATTCTTTCAGTCTGCCTCAGTGTCAGGTCTGTGTCTTTGTAAATTGTTCTGTGTTTCCTGTTATATATTGATAGTCCCAGTCTGATGTCATAATGTTCAGTTTTACTTCTCCCCTGTCTCGTTAGTCTAATTTCTCCCAGCTGTGTCTCCCTCCTGTTTCCCATTCCCTGATTACTCCCCAGTGTATATAAGCCCTGTGTTTGCCGGTAACAGAACACACACTCTTTGTTGCGTTGTTAATGTCTGCTTACCCTCAGTTTACGCTGTGTGTTCCGTTACCTGTTTTGCCTGCCTGTTAGTTTATTTTTTCCTCAGTATAGTTAGTCTTCTGTTCAGTCTGCAAGCTGCAATAAAGCTGTTTGAGTTTACCTTTGCGTCAGTGAGTCCTGCATTTTGGGTCCTTCCTCTCTGCCTGCCTGCACACAGCCATGACAGAAACAATCAATTCTAAAAGCTGAGAAAATCATTTTTGTGCCTAATCCAGCCAACCTGAATTATAGCCTTATCATATCATCATTAAATTTGTTTTTGGAAGGCATGCTTAATTAATTCAGAAGATACCGTTACCAATGTAATGAGCATTGCGGTACTCGTACCTGTGTGGCAATTTTGAACAAGAGATAAGCAGCAGTGCTCTGACTACACAGAGGGTTAGTTGCAGATGTAAAGTCTGTCCTGTGAATTGTGAGAGTGGTAAGACTGAGAAACTCAATTGATCTATACAAAACACGTTTATATGCTGAAGATAACAGATTCAGAAAATGACTGATAATTAAATTGCTTTATTTATTGTGTTTGTTAAAATCTAATCAAATCTAATCAATCTTTATATTCTCTCTCCTAGATGCTCCAAAATTTGCTTCAGTACTGGTGCTGAATAACTCTCATGAGATAGTGGAGGGTAGCTCTGTGAATCTGACCTGCAGCAGTGATGCTAACCCAGCAGCTAATTACACCTGGTACAAGGACAAAAAAACAATCAGTACAAAACAAGAGCTCATCTTCAGATCCATCCAGTCTTCTGACTCTGGAGAGTATAATTGTACCGCTAAGAATGAGCTGGGTCAAAGACCATCTGAAGTCATCTCTATCAATGTGAAATGTGAGTGAAGACAGTTATCTTTGCATAATTAATAGTTTTAACAGCAATTTTTTTTTACAACCAAACAAGGCAAGACTTTACAAACCCCGATACAGTCATAGAGTCAGAGTAAATGCTGCAGGTCTAAAACCTTTATCAGTATTCAGTTATAGAAAAGGTTTAATATGTCACAAATTTTAGGTCAAACAGGAACAGGAATACATGTTTTTTAGTATATTTTCTATTTCTCCTCCAGATGCTCCAAAGCTTGCCTCTGTGTCAGTGAGTCCCTCTGCTGAGATAGTGGAGGGCAGTTCAGTCACTCTGACCTGCAGCAGTGATGCTAACCCAGCAGCTAATTACACCTGGTACAAGGAGAACAAATTATTGCTTCATGGACCAGTGGGAAGGTACCATTTCTCCTCCATCAGCTCTGAGCACAGCGGGAACTACTCGTGCAAAGCTGAGAATCTGTATGGACCAGCACAGTCCGTAACTCTATACATAGATGTTGAGTGTAAGTATTTCAGTGAACAGCTCAGAAAACATGTCTGGTTGCAAATAATTGCGCTATTAAGTACTCACTAGCACTAGATGAGGCTAAAAAAAAGACCAGAATTTTTGGTCATACTTTTTTCAAAATTATATGCTAACTGACAAATGACTTGTGATTGAGTCTTTGCAGTAAGTAAATGGTTTTATAGTCGGACTCTCCTCCCTCCTTTTTCACGTCATGCCCGTCTTTTATACTATCTATGATGCAAACATGCTAAACTATAATTATAGGTATGATAAGGTTCTGGGATTGAATCTTCTTGCCAGCTGTGTGGAGTTTACATGTTCTCCCTGTGTGGGTTCTCTCCTGGTGCTCTGGCTTCCTCCCACAGTCCAAGGACATGCATATGAGGTTAATCAGTAATTCTAATCTGGCAGTAGCGGTCAATATGAATGTTTGTCTCTTTCTCTGTTAGTGTGCTTTAATGCTCACCATTTATAGTCTGTCACTGTGCCCCTGTGTGAACAGGATAAACTGGATTAAGACTGGCATTACAGTACATCCAGAAAGTATTTTCCGTGCTTTACTTGTTCCATATTTCGTCATATTACAGCCTTATTCTAAATGGTTAGCAAATGTTTTCACTTTGTCATTATGGTGTATTGTGTGTAGAACTTTAAGGCTGTAACATTACAAAAATGTGGAACTGGAAGTTAAGCGTGGTGAACACTTTTCTGAATGTACTGTACATGCAAAGAGTTTACAACCATGTGTTTTATGTAATCTATATATTCTGACTCTGCATTATTGGGTTTCTAAAAATGTCAAAAAATAAATAAATACTGATTAACCTAAACAAAACAAGGCTTTCAAATATTGACGACTGGTCTCCAATATGCTGCAGATCCTCCGAGGCTTCCCTCTGTGTCAGTGAGTCCCTCTGCTGAGATAGTGGAGGGCAGTTCAGTGACTCTGACCTGTAGCAGTGATGCTAACCCAGCAGCTAGTTACACCTGGTACAAGGAGAATGAAGACTCAGCAAAAGCATCAGGCCAGAACTTCACCATCACTGACTTCAGACCCGAACACATTGGGAGTTATTACTGTGTTGCACAGAACACAAGAGGACATCATAACTCCACCTTACAGCTGATTGTTACAGCAAGTAAGTGACTAAATTTATAAATTTGCCCATTTATCTCTGCATCATTTCATCATTTCAGAAATAAATAAATAAAAATTGACCTGAACATTGATACATGTAGAAATATTACACTAGGATCTAAGTGTGTGCGTGATTCATCAACTAGACAGTTAAACATCATTGTCTTTGCTAGGCAGTTCCAAAAATACTAGTTATATTGTTCTTACTTTATTAATGTAAAACAACATTTACCAGTTCAAAGATGTTACAGATGGCTAACTCCCCATTTCTCTCTTTTTTGTTGAAGTTGTAATCACGCAAAATAGATGACAGTGCCTATAGTACTTTGACATTGAGAAAATAAGATCAGATCAGGAATAAATAGATACAGCATTACCCAAATATAATACTTTGCAAAAAATAGAAAAATGTAGACTACCAGTCAAAAGTTTTTAGATCATCCCAGTCTTTCCAAAATGTATTTTAAACCTAAGCCATGTTTAGCAAATATAACAGCTGAACACACCTGTGGCATTCTTTCTACAATAGAAATCAAACATTGTTCAGAGAGTTCTTACCATATCTGTTGCAGAAATTCACATAAACATGCAGCACCTGTAGGTTGCTTTGCTTTCACTCTTCTGTCCAGTTCATCCCAAACTAGCTCGATGGGGTTTAGGTCTGAGGACTGTGCTGGCCACTTCATGGTTTCAAGCTTACGACCTTGTTCTTTTTTCTTGAGGTAGTTCTGGAATAGCTTGGACTACATTTTGGGTCATTATCTTTCTGTAGGATGAACCCCTGACCAACTAGGCACATACTAGAGGGTATTGCATGGATAAGCAGAATGCTGTCGTAGGCGTTTTGGTTCAGGGCGACTCTGTACAAGTCACCGATCCTGGATCCAGCAAAACAGCCCCAGACCATCACACGTCCTCCTCCATGGTTGACAGTTGATGCCACCCACTGTGGAGCTATCCTTCCTCCTACTCGACAACGTACCAGCTGTCAGAATAAAAGCCACTTTAGCAGGAATTAGATGCAAAACCACAGTCCATGAGTCATAAACTAGAAGGTTTTGGTCTGATATGCTTTATGTTCATTCTTAACCCTAGAACACTATCGCTATAAATAGTAACACGATCACTAATGCCGGGTGATTTATACCCGGTATAGTATAACCAGTGAACAGTAATCAAATATATCAAAATATGACAACACATGACAAATTAGAGTGGTCTTCTTTTACTTTCAACTGTGCCATGTCTAACAAAATGAAAAATAAAACTCCTAAAACAAAATAATGACTCTGGAAAGCTGGTCTTTGGTCCACCCATTCCTGGGACATTTGAGACTTCCCTGGTGATGGCACAGGCTCCTCGACACGCAAACAGCTGCAGGAGTGAGAAATCATGTAAATGTATTTTCACCCAGCGATAGTGTTCTAGGGTTAATAGACCCAAAATCCTGTAATCCAGTTACTAATCCAGAGTTTGTTTCCCAGGTTTAGTGAAATCAGCTGCAATTGCATCGATGACTATTTTCTTTTTGGCTATCGTAATCCTCTCTGCAGTCATATTCATAAGGTGAGCAGATCAGTTTTTAAAATGAACTACAATTAGTTCTTCACTCTTGTCATCCAAAGATTCCTGAAATTCCAATGCTCATTGTTCAATGTTCGTTCTCTGTTCTGTATAGAAAAACGAGGCCCTTAAAAGTCATTTTCTCCAAAGACAGGACAAACAGCATCGCACAGGTAAGGAAGAAAGGGTGATTAAATGGTCATCACACATAAGATAAATACAAAACTAATGTGAAAGAGCTGTACTGTAGGAGTATCTCTGGTTATGGCTGCACACAGTTGTCCCAACTGAGGATTGGTTCTAAGTTTACTATTGATCTACATCCTTCCCTGACATATGATCACAAGTGATCACAATTGTGGATACAAGCAATTGGAAATGAGCTTCCTCCGAAGGGTGGCTGACCTTTCCCTCAATGATAGGGTGAGAACTTTGGCCATCCAGGAGGGGCTCAGAGTGGAGCTGTGCTGCTCCTCGATATAGAAAGGAACCGGTTGAGGTGGTTCGAGCATCTGTCAAGGATGAATCTTGGTGCCTCTTGGGTGAGGTGTTTTAGGCATGTCCCACCGGGAAGAGGCCCTGGGGCAGACCCAGGATGTACTGGAGAAATTATATCTTTCTGCTGGCCTGGGAATGCCTTGGTGTTTCTCAGGATAAGCTGGAGAAGGTGACTGGGGAGAGGGAGGTCTGGGCTTCTCGATCTGACCCTGGATAAGCAGAAGAAGATGGATGGATGGATGGATGGACGGACGGGCGGACGGATGGATATGGGCTCAAAGTGTGGTCATAAATATTTTGTACTTGTAAATCAGGATTTGTATGTGTAAAAAGAATTTGTGTGTGCGTAAAAAAGATTTTTATGTGGACTTAGCCAAAAAAATACATGTGAAACTCTGCAAGTTACAAGTACGAATTTTGACCCTATTTTTATTCCTTTCATCTGATTGGTCAATGTCATGTCAATCAGAAATTTAACTATCAAATCAGAGAACAGATAGGTTTGGCTGTCGGAGGGGGCTTTTTAGTTCAAAAAAGCCCCCTCCGACAGCCAAACCTATCTGCAGTTCAGCAGGTCCTTGAAGTAATACAGTTTGAAGCTGGAGGATCTCTATGTAAATATCGATAGAAGCTAGGTCCCCTAACTTTCAGCAGCTGTTGAAAGGATAAAGTTGTGGTATATCAGTGGTTAGAAATACCATTATTACTTTAGGATTAGTTTAACACAAAGTCAGGGCTGACCCGGGACCATTGCTGTGAGCCACAGTGCGCAGCATAAAGGTCCTTTCACATCGGACGCAGGATGTGCTGCTAATGCTAACTGCTAACTAAAAGCCAAGGATCCAGAATTTGTTGCGCTGGCTGCTGAATTCTGTGGGTTTTTACAGCAGCTCTACCTGTACTAGATGCACCTGCTCCTTGTCGTTTCTATCTCGGACTTTGTGTTGTCTACAAGAGTTTCAATAAAAACATGTATGCTAATTCATAACGAAGAAAGCTTTGTAACTATCCCCACTAGTGAAGACTGTCATTTCCAAAACACTGTGTCCTTCTGTTATTTTCCTTCAGGTGGTCATTCTCACTCACTTAGTTTTTGCCGTCACCATCTTTTGCTGGGGATACTTACCTCTCCAAAAACAGATACAGTCCACTCATGGTGGACCCTATGATGTCCAACCCTGTTTCTGTGGGATTCATTTGAGTATTAAGTATTCTTATTGCTGAAAATTTTTTCTTCAGAAAAGTGCATCTCCAGAACATGATGGCCCTTCAGCTCCACCAGCAGAGCAGCAGGACGACCTTTGCTACGCCAGTGTCAGTTTCTCAAAGAGCCAAGAAGATCCTCTCTACTCCAACATTATGCCCACTAAACCCAAAGGACAAAATGAAGAAGATGAGGAAGAGGGAGGGGGAGATGTGGAATACTCTCTTGTCAAGTTTATTAATGGAGCCCAAGGGTGAGCCTCTTTATTTGTCCACAATGTTGAAAAATGTTTATTGCTTTGATTGTTGTTCCTATGACTTTTTTTTCCTTAATTAATGCTCATAATATTGTGAGATTCTTATTATAAAATCTTCATAATTCAGTATTTTTATCATTACAGATTAAGAGGTGAACAGGCTGTGGAAGATTCATCTGCACTATACAGCACAGTCAGGAAAATCTACCATTGAGTCTGTAAGGATGTGTTTGTATTTATTAAAGAGTGTTGAGCGTTTTTGGTTAATGGTCTTTTGGAAAACTGGGAATGAAGAAGAAATTTTCCATGACAGCTAGGCTTTAATTTGTTTGATATGTATAGTGTAGAGCATTTTAAATGTATTCACATTTGTGCATGAATGTGGTTTCAACACAGATTTGTTTGTATGCACTGTTTGTGAATGACTCACTCTCCTGATCAGTGTATGTCCACATGTACACTCTTGCTTCCTTCATTTTCTAATGCGATCATTCAAATGCATTATAGCTCCGTCTCCATGCACTGATGACTGTTTTATGTATCTATCAACTCAAAGAGATTTTTTATTTACTGTGGCTTCGTTTATTTTTTAAGACCGTGACTTATTTACCAATGCTTTCACTCTCATAATAACCTGACTGGAATGCACTGATATATATTATTTAATGAAAAAAAAAACTTTAATAAATATTTCTTAAGGGCTTAAGGATTTTTTTCATGGGTTTAATTGTTTGTAAGTGAGGGGACATGTTTTTATATTTCATATTTTAATATGCAGTGGTATTCATTCATTAAATAGATTTAATAAACACACATACCCACACACCTCTGACTGCACTGTAGGTGGGTATTTTACAGTTGGGCAGATGTGAAGGAGCGGGGTCAAGTTTCTCAGTAGATGGCAAATAATAATTTGTGCATCCTTTATATCTCATATCAGTGTTGCTCCAGCTGTTTGGTTGCTTAGCTCTGTCCACAAGATTTAGACAGCCTGTCCATCCATGTGTCCATCTGTCCTTCAGCATCTTGACAACTGCTGACCAGATCCACAGTTTGAGGTAGTTTGGGTGAGTGGATCTGTCGTTGTGTCATGTCATGGGTTCCTGGTTTCTCTTTGTCCCATGTCTTCTGTCTTCTTTATCTCTGTCACTGTGGTTACTGTTAGATTGTCTGTGTTAATTGTCTTTCAGTAGTTTCTATTTTTGGTTGAAGGTTTGGTTTCTAATGTGTCTTATTCTAGAATTAGAAGTGACTGTTTGCCTGTAACTGTTTTTACTTGCGCCCCGTTCCCAGCTGTGTCTTGTTTTTCAGCCCATCTTCTGTATACATAATACACAGGCAGGTTTGTTTCAGTATCTTTAGTTACGCCCCTTTCATTGCTTTAACCCATCAAAGCCCAATTATAATCTAAAACTCAGTCAGTCAGTTTAGGGGAAGTCTGTAAATTGAAAGAGTAAAAATAACCGCTAGTGTCCACAGAGCTAGCCTCAGTAAACCACAGTGTTAGCCACCAGCCTGGTTGGTTAAACTGTTCCATGTTTCAGATTTTATGCTTTCTCTGTGCTTCATGACCATTCTTGGTTTCTGATATGCTGAACAGCACAAGAAAATTAAGAAATAAGAAGTTATATAATTAATGAAACTGAAAATAAGTGTTGCAGTGGTAAAATGCAGCTGCCTGATCACCAGACCAGTGAAATGCATTTATTTTTATTGCCTTCTCAGCATTTTGACCGTGTTATGTGCAGTTAGTGCAGTAGAACTTTACACAACAGACTGCAAGACAAACAAGAAGTGACAGTGCATGTCTTTAAAGAATAAATAAAAATCCGAGACCAATCAAATTTGAATGCCTGTACTAAACCGACCCCACATATACCACAATAAAGTGAAAGCAGACGATAAAGAGCAACATGATGCTGGACCTCCAAAACATCTGCTGATGTTTATCATATATATATATATATATATATATATATATATATATATATATATATATATATATATATATATATATATATATATATATATATATATATATATATATATATATATATATATATCTGCTGCTCCAGCAGATCCCGGGAACAACATCGGAGATCTCTGTCCAGAAGAGCGCAGTCCTGGGAACAGCTAAGATACTGCGCAGGACCCTCAAGCTCCCAGGCCTCTGGTAGAGGACCCGAGCTTGAAGGATAAACCGCCCGCAGGGGCGTGCTGGGTGTTTTTTTTTTATATATATATATATATATATATATATATTTGTTAAATGATTGAATGATCATCAAACACTACTGTAAATAATAATTTTATTGCAATTAATTCTCTTCTAACAAATGGTGTCATGGATGGGGGGAGTACATGTTTCAGACTGCCCCACCCAGCCTATAGTGTATTGAAGATTTCATGCACAGTTTCCATTTCATGTTGGGAATATACAGATATTCAAATATTAAGCTTATTTCATACCATAAAGAGGAAGGAAACCAGCACAGACAACTGATTTGTGGTTTCCATACTTTCAAAAAAGTCACAAGTTTTGTTTAAGATTGCGTGAGCTGTGCTATTTATTACTTTAGATAAGTGATTGTTGATGCACAGATCTGATGAACCCTTTAGTCTAACAGTGGCTAACAGTACCTGTCTGTGTCTGGTACTGTACATTTATGTCAGGTAACGACCCTCATTTACTGGATCACCACTATCGATACCCTCTGCAAGTCGTTCCCTTTGAAACGTACTTCTTTGTGGCACACATTCAACAACATGTGGAAACATTCCTCAGAGATTTTGCTCCATATCAACATGACGGCATCACACAGTTAGTGAAGATTTGTTGGCTGCACAGCCCTTGCGTAAATCTCCCGTTCGACCACATCCCAAAGGTGCTGTGTGTAGAGGCCATATGAATACAGTGCACACTGTCATGTTCAAGAAACCCGTTCAAGATGATTTGAGCTTTCTGACATGGTGTGTTATTCTGCTGGTGTCATGGTCTGGGTGAGTGCTGGCGTAATTATCTGTTTTGCTGCCTCCACCTCTGGGTGGAGTCACCGTGCTCTGGCACGCCTCCTCACCTGTGAGCAATTTTGCTGCCAGCATTTAAGACCACCGCTCACCCCTACTCGCCGCCAAGTGTTCAGCTAACCATAGTTACTGATGGTCACCACAGTCTTAGTCTAAAGAGGTGTTTTTCACAGAAAGCCACTGATGCTATGTTTATCTCTGTAGACTTCCAGCCGACTGCTGCGCTCAATCCCGAACAATACTCACCCTCATCCTGTTGCTGGTTTAATCGTGGCTGTTCAGTTTCTCGCATCTGCAGTTTATTCTACTCACCTGGCTGCTCTCCAGTCGTCGTCACAGCGCCCTACGGATTACCCGCTCTGGAATCTGGCTGCTCATTCGGACCTTTTGACCTCTCCCCTTTCGTCAGCTGTAAGACTGAGATGACTCAACTTTGATTCTCCTCTTCTGGACTTCAGGGCTTTGTCATTAAATCTCCTCTTTTCTTTGCAGTGTTCGGAGACTCCCAGTTGCATTTCCCGATGCCCTTCCCACTAGCCTTGAACCTAAGTCTACTAAATGAATTAACGTTCCTCATGTTTAACATGTTTGTGCTTAGTTCTAGTCATAGTTTGTCGTTTATGTCATAGATCTAGAACAGCGGTCCCCAACCCCCGGGCCTCGGACCGGTACCGGTCCGTGAGTCGTTTGGTACAGGGCCGCGAGAGTTGAGGCTCAGGTGTGAAATGTATAGTTTTCAGGGTTTTTATTGGTTTTCAGCCTTATTTTGTTATCATTTTTATCATTAACTTGGTTTTCCTGGGTCTTTTCACGTGTGTTATGAATAAATTTTCTTTTTTTCGGTACTGGTACTAGTTCGAAAGGAGCCAGCTGAGGTGGTTCGGGCATCTGACAAGGATGCCCCCTGGGCGCCTCCTGGGTGAGGTGTTCCAGGCATGTCCCACCGGGAGGAGGCCCCGGGGCAGACCCAGGACACGCTGGAGAGATTATATCTCTCGGCTGGCCTGGGAACGCCTTGGTGTTCCCCCGGATAAGCTGGATGAGGTGGCTGGGGAGAGGGAGGTCTGGGCCTCTTTGCTTAGGCTGCTGCCCCCGCGACCCGGCCTCGGATAAAGTGGATGAAGATGGATGGATGGATGGTACTAGTTTTATTTTGTTGTATTTATCCGCAACACCTTAAAGGCCGGTCCGTGAAAATATTGTCGGGCATAAACCGGTCCGTGGCGCAAAAAAGGTTGGAGACCGCTGATCTAGAAAACCTTAATTCATAGGTTATAGTCCTCATTTCTGGTTATCCCTACCAGTTCTTAGTTTATAGTTCATATTCTTGATCTCTTGGCTATAAAGTCTTAAAAGTAAACCATGTTATCTTGTGCTTTCATGTGAGTTTTGCTCTGAGTCAGTCTGTTTGGTGTGGCCTCGGCTGTGACAGCTGGAAGCAGTCATCAGAAAATAGTCATACAGGGATGAACGTGGTCAACAACAATTTTCATGCAGCACTGCTCAAATGGCACTAAGTTACCCATAGTGTTATCGGAAAATATCCCCCAAACTACTACACCACCAGCCTGAGCTGCCAATACACATCAGCATGGATCCATGATGCTTTCATGCTGTTTACACCAAATTCTGAACCTTCCACCTGAATGTTACACCAGAATTTGACTCATCAGATCAGACGATGTTTCTCCAATCGTCTGTCCAGTTGTGAGCCATTTAATTTTTAGCCTGTACATGTGTATGAGAACCTTGTTAGTTCAGACTGTAGTTTACTTTGTGTGCATAAAATAAAATGATGGCACATTATCAAGACGCTGAAGAGTTTCACTTCAACATTTCGTCTGTTGTTTCACACTTCAGTGAACACAGTGAGGAAAACAGCCACACCTTTCTAATCATTAATATTCAGGTTTTACCCTTAAAATGCCTGAAAATTTCAGCGAGGTGTCACAAATTTGTTGTCATTTGGTGCCAAGTCTTGGCACTGTTGGCTCCTCAGTCATTATCAGTGTATGACACATTTAGTGTCACGTGTTGTTGGATTTGTGCCTTCATTAGACACATCAAATCTCATTTTAAATGGGGAGAAGTGCTCTTTTTGGTGATCAGTACTTCTGCAGTATATCCGTTCCATGCTGCTCTGATGGTTGACTTCTGAACATTACACAATGAAAAAACATGCAAGGTTAATGGTGCCTGTGTCAGCCCAGGACACTCTTGCAAAAGAATGTTTTAATCTCAGCAGTTTCACTTCCTGTTTATTAAAAAAACATTTAAAAAAAGTTCAGAAATCCTTTGTTTGCCCTGCTCCACTGTGACTTCCCAGACCGTTATTGACATCAAGCGGGGAGGCATTAGAGTTGGGTACTTAAAATATTCAAGAACTTTCCACTTTCCAGAATTTAACAGTGTGTCCATTCTGTTTGAATCTGATTTCAGTTTGTGATGTGCTTTTTGTTGCAGTTGTAAAGGTCTAAATGACTAATCAGACACTTACTCTTCAGCATGATGTGGAGATGGGGAGGAGACAGGAAGTGACATGAAAGGCAAAAAGATAGAAGAGCACTAAGAATTAAAGCAACGCTCCCCAACCTTTTTTTGCACCACGGACCGGTTTATGTCCAACAATATTTTCACGGACCAGCCTTTAAGGTGTCGCGGATAAATACAACAAAATAAAACCGGTACCAGTACCAAAAAAAGAAGATTTATTCATAACACACGGGAAAAGACCCAGGGAAACCGAGGTAATGGTAAAAACAATAAAAAAAAATGATAAAAAACAAAAATAACCCTGAAAACCATAAATTTCACACCCAAGCCTCAACTCTCGCGGCCCGGTACTGGTCTGTGGCCCGGGGGTTGGGGACCGCTGATTTAAAGCACATGGAACAAAGGCTGACTGGCTGACAGATGATGGGTAGGAAAAGGTTTAATGACAGAATTCAGTTTGACAGTATGGGAAAATAGGGTTGATGTGTTATGTGAAGCGTGTACGGCGAGCAGAGAATGGACTGTGAAAAAATTCCTGGAAGCATGTAATGTTTTTAGTTTCAGTGTAAAATCATCTGGAAACGCAACATTTCCACTTATTTTTTTGTAATTCAACATGTTTTACGTGTGATATAAAATCTCTGTTGGAGGAGTACATTTTATATGGGCAGCTTTTTAAACTAACTACCTTACTAAACACACCGTAAACTGAGAGTCACATCTCTACAAGAATATCCGCATTTTAATTTGGTGATTTAGAAAATGTCTAAATGTTGTCATACTTCACTCTAATCTGTTAATTAATCTGTTTTACACTGCTGGAAACACGAAACACACCAAGGATTCCTGTAAGGAGAGTAAACTTCAATGTTGCAAATAATTAACTGGAATGAAAATGCTTATTGTTTGCACTAAATCACCAGATTTATCTTGTTTTTTTTCACAATAGTGTTGGATTTTACTGATATATTTTGTATGATTTTTTAGAGATTTTTATTTGCTAGCATCTCTGGAGTAGGTGGCACTCACAGGGATCATTTTCTGTGGAAGAAGAGTCATATGATCTGTGAAACGCCCCTTTGGCATTGGTCATGTGAACACACAGGGGAAACCCTCATATAACTTAGCCAGTTGAGAACCAGCTTCATGTGACAGTTTATCCCATTCGCCAATGTTAGGGTGAGTGAATCTAGATGACAGAAACATATCCTGGGTACACTGGACCTCCTTTGCAGTATAGAGCTCAGACAGAAACAACTGACTTCCAACAGAGACACTGATCAGAGGACAAGGAGACAGACTGGGGCTGCTTTCCAAAAGTACTTCCCATCTTATCTCCTATTTCTAACTTCTTTGCCTTTAGTTTAAGAAACAGTGGGCAAAAGTGTTTTTGGACGTTGCTTATTGTTTAGATTTTCATGTGTGTTTCCATTGTATTTGCCTAGTTGTAGGTGCTGATTGTTTTATCATTGTCTTTCTTTGATCTTGTGTGTCTTGAATATTTTGACCCCAGTGTTTCAAGTTTTTCATTATTTTCATGGATTAGTGGTAACTGATGATACTCTCAGTTTTGTCTTTAGGTTTTAAAGTTAAAAGTCCTGTTTTTCGCATGTGTCTTGTGTAGCCTTTGTATCTGTGTTGTGTTCTCATTAAGTGTTTGCATTTGACATTCAGTTTTACTTCCCCTAGCTGTGTTCACTTCCTCTGAGTTGTGTGAATTTATAACTTCAGTTCTATTTATTGCCACATCATATTGTTGCCCACAGATGTTTCCTGTTGTTATCCCTGGGATGTCTTCTGTTGTCTTGGATTTAGTTTTCATCTGCCTTTTGATAAAAGTTTATTCTTATTTGATTCCTAGATGTGCGTGAGTCTGAGTGATTCTGGATTTGGGTCCTTATTCACCATAACCTTGACATCAGCTTTATTAAAGAGGCAAATCAAAAAATGGTGTTGATCTAAAAGTGGCATGATAAAAGACTATTGTATAATCATTCAATAAAATAGTTTAAATCGTTAGGTATAATATGTTATTATACATGAAGCCCAGAAAATAATGTAATGTACATAGTATGGTGACATTTATATGGCTATATGTGCTTAGGCCAGATGTGTGCACTCTGATACTGATACACGTGCTAATATGAAGGTAATTAGGGGTGAATTTGTTCACCTAGTATTCTATTGTCAAATTTCTTTTCAGAGCCAGATATACATTTTCAAAAACATGTCAAAACCACCCTGTGCACATGTCTGGGCACACTGTATCCTCTTTGGGTATATGTAAAATAGTGTACAGATGCTCAGTGACTGATATTTAGGTTCCTCTTATGTGAAAAATACTGACTGTTTGTACAGAAGTTGGCAGTAATGTACAACTGTTTGTGGGACAAGAGGCAGTAGAAGAGTGTTTCTCTCTCTATCTCTCTCACTTTCTACCTCTTGCATTGTTTGTTGATTTAATGGTTAGGAGGAGGCGCTGGTTTCTCGATTAATTTGGCTGAGATGGGCATCTGGCTACCAGCAGTTGTCTCAATGCACTTAATATTATAGGAAAGAACTGAGAGTGAAGTGTTCTAGTGGAGTGATAGTGGTACTATAAAATATATATATTGGAAAGCTGGGTATACAAGTCTGCAGCAGTCCAGGAGTTGGGTTGACTGTCTTTGATTAAGTTCCACAGAATAATTGTATCCATCAAAGTGTTTGCCAGGCTTAATCCAAATTCAGTGCAGCCATACTTGAACTTATTCCTGTTAGTATACAGTATGTGTGACTATGAGCATGGTTTTCTGGAAAACATTCAATTCTATAGTTAGTAGAGTCATAGATAACTAGGAAAACAATCACAACACATCATCTACTCAACACATGTCCACAAGGGGTCACTGTAGACCACAGATTGGATAAATAGCACATGTCTTACAAGTTGCTAATCAAGCTAGCAACACTTAAACTAAACTAGACCTTCCCAAAGTGTGGGGCCCGCCCACACTTTAAAACCTGAAGATAGTCAGATTAACAGTAACAGTATTTTGTCTCTATCTGCCATTCTGCAATTCATCTCATGTAAACAATAACGTGGCGCACAGCGTGACGAGAAAAAAGGCACATACACTGTGAAACTCTGTATTCCTCGTCCACATGTAAACGCAAAAAAGGAGTTTTATAAAATCTCCGTTTTCGGTGATTGGCAACGCCGTTTATGGACGAAACAGCTGCGTTTTCAAAAATACCCGTGTAGGTGCGGACGTAGCGTAAAAGAGTTAGTAGTGTATTTCCTTACTACCTGTAATTTATTGCAGTTTACTTGTATTTGCTTAATTGCTTACTAAATGTTTGAGGTGTGAAATAAACCGCAATGGAGCAAAATATGGGTGTGTGTGGTTGGAGGATGCATTTGTGCGTGTGTGCGTGCACGCGCAAGAAGGGGGGGGGGATATTTTTCTTGTAAAACAAAGGGGGGCTTAGCAAAAAAAGTTTGGGAACCACTAAACTAAACAATAGAAAAGTCCTTTATTCCTAATAACGCTAGATGTAATCATGGCGGGAGATTATGGCCACTGCTATTAACTTGGTGCTAAATGTTTGGCGACTGTGGCTCAGGGGGTTGGGAAGCATATCTGTAACCGGAAGGTCGCAGGTTCGATCCCTGGGCTCTCTGTCCTGGTCGTTGTGTCCTTGGGCAAGACACTTTACCCTACCGCCTACTGGTGTTGGCCAGAGGGGCCGATGGCACGATATGGCAGCCTCGCCTCTGTCAATCTGCCCCAGTGCAGCTGTGGCTACAACCGTAGCTGCCTCCACCAGTGTGTGAATGCGAGAATGAATGAATAGTGGCATTGTAAAGCGCTTTGGGTGCCTTGAAAAGCGCTATATAAATCCTATCCATTATTATTTCTATCAACATGGTATAAAAGTACTGAGGCATAATTTTAACATGCACAAACAATTAGAAGCAGTATCCTGCCAGTTAACTGCCAAAAGAAATAACGCTTACAGGTTCATTGACGCACAACTGTGGTTCTCTGCAGCAGCTCCTTTAGTGCTGAGCACATGACTGCTGATGCACTTATTTACTTGCTTGATTCTTGACATTTTTGGATGAATTACAGTAGTCCAGCCTAGAAGTAATAAATGCATTTACTAGTTTTTCAGTGTCACTCTGAGACGGGATGTTTCTAATTTTAGAAATATTGGGCAATAGAAGATAGCAGTCATACAATAGGTTTAATACGTGCATTGAAACTTAACCTGGTCAAAAACGGTTTTGTCATCACTACCCGAGTCACCTGTTCTTTTTATCTAGGAGACATTTTGTGTTAAAGATTTGCTCTCAGCCCTCTCAAAAGAGAGCTTCACACTCACTTTGCAAAGAAAACCTACATTAAAACTTAATGTACATGAGAGAAAATCTATTTATGATCCTGGTAATAAACTGGCCCGGAACCGTACGATTTTAAAACTGATTAAAAATATTCCATATTTGTATTTTAAGAAGCTATTCTGCATGTAAACCACTGTATAACAACCACTTCTTCATTTCAGTGTGGGAGTTTAGAGGCTCTCATCTGTTTATGCATGTTGACCATGTCCAGTTGAAGGAAGACAGTCTAATATTTCTTTTATATTTTCTAACCACAGAAGACCCTGTTATCAAAGACTACATCCTCAACAACTGATGGAGACTAACTGGAAAACAGTATGTGTCATGTTGATGTGATTTAAGAAGCGAGAGAAGAAGCGATGAGTTTAAGTGCAGCAGCGAGTGGATTGGTCCTCTTCCTTCTCTCTCTAACAGGTTTATGTGTACCTGGTTTTCACACATTCAGTATCTGCAGGAGTTACTTTTTAATGTAAAATTACAATACATAAGGGATTTATTTTTGTAGACCCAGTACACTCTTAGAAGGGATGTGTTAAAATTGACACATCATGTGTTAAATTTTAACACATGTGCTGCATCAGATTAGGGACAACACATGATGTGTCAGTTTTAACACAATTAATGTGTCTGCTCCTTTAACACATCTTCTGTGTTAAAAAATGTAAACACAAAGATGTGTTATTTTGACACAAAGATGTGTTAAAATGTGTACATTTCAATTTTTTTTAAAAAGGAGAAAAAAGATGGGTATATATTATACACTTATTGAATTCCATTTTTTATTTGGCATATTATAAATCATTACAAACTGAATGAACAACAACTGTCAGAATCTTTTCAATTAAAATGTTTTAAATGCAATTTTAGCCAAAGCTATATCACAATTTTTACTTTACAAAATCAAACAAAATTCATATCTGACTAGCTTTCTATCTCTCTAGATCATTAAAATGTCAAATAAATTTGAAAAAAGGGCAATCATATATATGATTGCCCTTTTTTCAATTTTTTCAATATATATATATAATGTTCTGATATAATCCAGACAATACATGAATTAAAATTTTTAAAGGTAACAATTGTCATCTTCAACAAATTGTCAACATTTAACAAATGTGCAGTTGCATGCAAACAGAAAAACATACATTTTGGCGAATATAGCATCCAGGTTATACAATTTTGTACCTTGGGTTTAAATACAAAAATCAAAAATTTCAGCCAATCAGTTCATATTGTCTGACCTTTCCACTGCATAGGCATAAAAATGGTCAGTCCTGATAAGCAGTGTATTTGGCAAAGATGCCAAATGAGGTTTCTCACCTCTGTGAACAGAGACTCTCTACATTTTGGACAGGTGAACATTTTACTTGCATCCTTTAATCTGTGCAATCAGCTCCAGTACTTTGGTTTTCCTTTGGGTGGACAGCGGCAGGTCATAGACAAACTCAAAGAAGGTGAAGACGGAGCCAAGTGGTGCTGGATAGGACAAGTTACATACCCAGTACAGTTTGAAAAGCTTATCCACAGCACACGTCAGGCCATCATTCAGAGAAATGGTTACTCTGTCATTCTTAGCAACAATGATGTACTGCCTGGTTGCCCTCTTTAGATCACCGATGCATATCAGCTGGGGTTGGTGTGTTGTGGATGATGCTTCAGGATCACTGCAAAGCGATGCAATACTTGTTCCAGGCTTGGAGATGGGGGAAGATAAAGATAGTATTCAGTGAGGTGTAGACAAATGCTTTCCTCAGGTAAATACTAGGGGTGCAACGATATTCCTATCGATATTGAACCGTTCGATACAGTGCTTTCGGTTCGGTACGCATATGTATCGAACAATACAACATTTGTAATTTATTTTATCAATTTTCCTTCTGACGATGCTGTCTGTGTTGAGCGCTCAGTGAATCTGTGTTCGACTACTCCGCCTAGGCTGCACTGTCGAGCGCAGATCCACTGAGCGCTCAACACAGACAGCATAGTCAGAAGGAAGAGCGCAGGGCAAGCTAGTGAGACAGAAGTTAAGCTCTCCTTGCAAGATGGACCTCCCCCACTCTCATTCAGATCTGGCGTTTGGAATTATTTTGGTTTTCATGTGACGTATGACCCTGAAGGTAAGCGAGTCATGGACTAAAGTAAAACAGTATGTTGGATGTGCCATGCAATGCTCAATTACATTGGTGTGAACTAGTGTGTTAGCGCAGTTAGCTCGTTAATGTGTTGGCCGTCTAGCCCCATGCACGGAGCGATAGGCGGTAGCTCGTTAACGGAGATTTGCCGTGTTGTGGCGTTAAGGTCATTTCAACGAGATTAACCTGAAAGCACTAGTGGGAACACAACGAATATGACTGCACATTTACGCCGACATCATCCTAGTGCAAAGACAAGTGGAAGCAGACAAAAAAAAGCAAGCATGCTACTAACTTTAGCCGAGTCATTTAGACAGCTGTTAGCACATGATTCTCCTTATGCTGCTGAGAATATAGCCCAGAAGAAGCGGATAGTATAGCTTTTATTTTGGAAAGAGCCATTTCTCTGTAATAAACTCTCTTTTCCAAAGATGAGTGATTCCTCAATCAGATACAGGGCTTGCAATATCGCTAGCCCGACGTCCCGGAGCTAGAGATTTTTTCAGTCGGGCTACCAAAATCTATCTCTTCCCTGCCCGTCGGGCTATTGTAGGAAAAATATATGTCAATGCTTTTGCATTCTTTCGGAAATGTAGCTGGGTAATTATGTCATTGGCATCGGTGAGCCACTGTCAATATGTGACATATTGAAGTCGCGTTTGAATTTGCGCTTGTTTTTTTGCTTTCACTTTGCAATCGTGCGAACTGTGTATAGAGAGCGACAGCACTGATCTGTGAGTGATGATAATTTGTGCACCAATTCCTCTGACATCGTCTTATTAATCGTTAGCTTACTATGCAAACATGACAAGTGAAATCTCCCGCAGCAAGCTTAAACATGTGAGAGGTTGATCGCGCAGAGAATCGCTGAGTTTTTGTGAGTGAGTGTGTAAAAGCATTTCAGTTCTGCTGAGCCAAATAAGACAGGTCAGGGTGAAGAAGTGACAGCCAAAGAAAAGCTTACCACAAAACGGAGAAGTTATGGCTCCTGAGGAAGAAAGGACAGAGGTATATGGGTAACAGCTGAGCAATTTTAACTGAGAAAAAAAGCTCTAATAAATAATTAGATAAAGGTTAAACGATACACAGTAAGTGGGAACAAGTGCAATTTACAGTATGTAGTGGAATTTACATTATTAAAATGCTCAATTTACTTACAAATCCTTCCCCCTGTCCTGCCACTTAAGGGTGGAAAAGTGGTGAGGATGCTTTTTGCTACAGTTAGCTTCTCTGCACTAAGAGGGTAACTGGAAAACAAAGGTAAACTTTTTTACTTCTGTGCACTTCAACATTTTTAAAGGAAAACATTCATTGCAAAATTTTAACAAAGTACAGTAAAGTGCGATACTTACTAACCACACCTCTCCACCAAATCCCCAATGCAAGTCTTCACAAGGAGCCTCCTCGATGGCACCGACAGGTTTCATACTCCTTAAGAATCTGTGGGGCTTTCCTGAGTGACTTCAGGGGTTGACTTTGTTCTTCTGTGGTAATGGTAGACTGTGTAAAGGCAACACCAGACACTTTACCTCTCTGCAATAATCTTCAAAGTCATGACAGCAAATTTCCACAGAGCATAAAAGCACGAGTTTACTCAAAAAGCTGCAGCAGAAGAAGGCGGTTTCTTAACTACGTGATTATAACGCAATGACTAAAAGAAATTCTGAATAATAAATAAATTGATTTTATCTTCTAGTTGCTACTTGGTGAATAAATCTGATCCTGACTAATAGTGATGTCTGATGTCTGTGGCACTGCTGACAATAAGAATTTTTTTTTTTTTACAAATTTCTTTCTCATCTATAAAAGTGGTTACAAGGACTTTGACAGATTCTAAGTTGTCATATGTGTGCTGAAAAAATGAAACACATGGCTAAATAAGTAAGATAATTTGCATAGTCAAGTTGCTGTTGTTTGGTTTTTTAAATAACACTGACTATTACTTCCTCAGAAGTTCTGCATAAAAAAGAAACTATATCAGAGCATGTTTCCAGCAATAAGCCTTAAAAAAGAATGTGCACATACTTTAGTTAATCATACTAGATGCAAAAACTGCTTTAACTGCTTGAAAAAATAATTATCTCCTCAATATGAGGTATATTTCATGTTAAAGTTACTCAGTCTTTATTCCTATTCTCTGCTAGTAAACGAATGGTCGCGGTGATAACTACATTTGCTATATTCAGAGCTAACGACAATATTGTCATTTTACTCAACACTGCTACGGTTAGGTGCTGACTCTGGCGTTGCTCATAGACAACATAATGCCTGTCGGAGCCGCTAGCCAACTACCACACTGGTTCTAAGAGCAATTTCTGAATACTCTAATACATAAATAAAGTAAATAGATAAATACATGAATAAAGTAATACATAAAAATACTACCAAAACACATTAACTCTAATGGAGTATGGCACGAAATCCAAGAACTAATAATAAAATTAAGAGTAGGATATGTTAGCAAGACTGTTACATTAAGGTTAGCTAGGTATAGTTAAGCAGTAATTAACTTAAACTCTAAACTCCTATATTTTATATAAATTCACATTCTTCCAGAAACCCGGCATATTTTCAGTACATTAAGATAAACTGGTAAATGATACTTACTGTAAGGTCTGACAACATACTAGGCGACGTAACCTCCATCTTTGTCTCCTTTGTCTCATTGGCGCGAAAGATAGCGCCCCCTTCCCGCCGCCGGTATGTCATGTTGCTGGGCAGAATTTGTTTCAATTTTAAGCATGTGTGTTCTTACTCATTTCATTTTCTACTTTTGCTTCAATTGTATTCACATGTTACGGTCAAAATTAAGCCTGTTCTTTGTGGATACTTATGCTTATAGTATAGCCATGGCCATTAATTGGTATGCCATACATATTGAGAAATAAAAAATTAATCCTCTTTCAGAATTTTAGTACACCATACACCTTGGTCCACATTACATTATAAAATGTTTTATTTGTTGAAAGTAATGAGGAAAGGATTAAGGAAAACAAACAATAACTAAACATTTTATTTATTCAGTTAATATAGTTATAATACATTGTTAATCTACAATTTATTTCACTAAACACAGGGCTAGCATCAAATTACTGAGCTGCTAATTTTAGGTCCTGTTGTTAGATTCTGAAAATAACACACACAATGTGTTAAACTGTGCAACACATCAAGTGTGTTAAGCGTTTTACACATTTTTTCAATGTTTACACATTTTCTTACACATGTTATGTTAAAATTTACACAAAATGTGTTAATAGTGTAACAACACATTTTTTGTGTCATTTTTTAACACATCCTTTCTAAGAGTGTACATCTCTCTCTATATCTCTATATACATCTATATATCTACATCTATCAGTAGATATAAATAGGTTGTACCTAACTGGACAATTTCTATAATAATTTAATATGTGGAAAGCTGATCTTTAACTATTAATGTTCTGAAGACAGACATTTCAGACATTTGGCTGAGAACAACAGTTGTTAAATATTTTGTAAAACAGAAATGAAGCACAACTTCATTTTTTCTATTGTGATGAAGTGCGCTTGGTCCGAATGTCAGAATCCGAATTTCTCTCTGCATGTAGTTCAACTACAAGTAAAACTGTTTACTGTTGCTGTAATGAGTCTGACTGTGTTCTGTGTTACAGTGGTACAGAGTCAGAATGATTATGCAGTGACTTACACTTCTACTCAGATCTGTGCTGTAAAAGGATCAACAGTGGACATAGGCTGCTCCTTCAAACACCCTTCAAGAGTAAATGTGTTAAAAAGAGTTTGGTTCACTAAAGGGAACAATTATAATCCTGAAGATCTGAAAACAGACCCAGCGTATGCAGGTCGAGTGTCGTACAGTTCTCACTGGAAGAGCTGCACTCTGACAATCAGAGACCTGAGAGAGAGCGACTCAGCTGTGTACAAGTTCAGGTTTGAAACAGACTGGAAAGATTTTACTGGTTTACCTGGAGTCACTCTGACTGTCACAGGTAACATTTTTAATTACACATCAGTCAGAAATTGTTATGAACATGACTGTGTGTGTTTGGATATGGATAATGGATGTCTACGTTTCTGCTCTGATTTTATTTCTTCACATAATCAGTTCTTCAGGTACACGTGAACGGATCATCAAATTCCAACTGGGCAACGCTGACTTGTCAGAGCAGTTGTCGACTAAATTATCATACCTCCTACATCTGGTACAAAAATGGACACAGGGTTTCTGGTAGAAACCAGTATCGGTATTCAGCCAATCTGAATCCTTCAGATAGCTACTCCTGTGCTGTAAGAGATTTCTCCTCTCCTTCAGTGTGTGAGTTTATTTCAGTTACATAAAACCATCTCATAGAGTCATTACATACATCTGAATAAAAACAGTCAAACTCACAGTAACTACTTTCTAAATCTGACTTAAATATCATTTTATGTTTCAGGTGTCCAAGGTGATTCATGCAACAGAGTGAATTACAGCAACAGAAGAATCTGTGCAGTCAAAGGCTCATCGGTGGACATTTCTTGTACTTACAACAGTTATGAAAGTCCAATCCAATCAAAGTCCTGGTTCCGTTCTGGTCGTGGATCTGAGGACCTCAGAGAAGACTCCCAGTATGCAGGTCGTGTTGAGGTGACTGAAACAGAGAGAGGACGCTCCACTCTGAGAATCAGAGACCTGACAGAGAGTGATTCAGCCGAGTATCACTTCAAATTCAAAACACAAAGCTTTGAATGGAAGAGTAGTTTACCTGGAACAACTCTGACTGTCACAGGTACTGATGAATACACACAGAATATTTCATTCAGCTCAGTTGTTCAGTTGTGGTAATGGGTGTATTTATTGTTTTGAGTATTTAATGTCTTGTGTCTGCTGTGTTGTCATATTCAGATCTGCAGGTGAAGGTGAGCAGAATAATATCAGTCCATGAGTCTCAGACTGAGGCAGAGCTGAAGTGTGAAAGCAGCTGCAGTCCAGCTGGTCGTCTTTCTTTTGTCTGGTTCAAAAACAATCATTTTAAGGTTGAACAAAGTTCTTATCAAGATCTGTTCAGTCCTGGAGACATCATCTCCTGTGCTTTCAAAGGACACGAAGGTTATCGCTCAGATCCTGTGTGTAAGTTTACTTCATTGTGTTATGTGGTCATCATGAACAATTTTGTGTTTTCAGATCTTCAGCTTTCTTTTTTCACCAAAATGTTGTTTAAGATGTGCAGTGGAATTCAAAATACTATAATGTATTTTAAATTCTTTGAGTGTTTTACTGTACAACCAGTTTAAAGGTGAGTGGAGCCAGGTTCATGAATCTGAGTCAGATACTGAGGTAAAGTCCAAAATAACAGTCTTTGTGCTGAAGAGTGGTTTGATCCTGATCAGAGAACATGAAAGATCAGTTCCTATCATCACCTGTAGACTGCCGTGTGGCGACGGAAGCAAATAATTTAATGAAAGACAGCAGTACCCTGAACAACATGTGTAAGATTTAACAAGAATATCTACTTAAAGACTTACCTTAGAGATGTAATAAGCAGAGATGTGTGAATTGTGAAGAACAGGTGTACATCAGCTGTTTCTGACTGTCTACAAAGGTCTGTCCATGAAAAGAAGCATGAACTTAATATAATGAGGATAACAGATCTGAGCAGTAATTAAAAGCTTGTCAGTCCCCACAACTGAGGGTGTGACGGACTGAAAAGATACTGAGGGAAATGTGTTGACAACAGCTTTAGATAAGAAATAGAAATAATTTGAACAGTAAGGATAAAAGTCTATGTCAGGTTGGCCACCATAGGCGAAACGCGGGACTCAGATGGTTTCCGTTTTTCATTCAATGATACAGCTCATCACTCTTATAAATATCGGCTCTTGACAAGATCATTAAAGGCAGGTGTGTGAAGCCAAGAAGCAGGAACTCTCCTTAAAGTCTGACACTGCACAAAGAATCAACTCCAGGAGTGGAGGGATAAGTAGACATCACAGGTCAGACCAGTGAGGACACAGGGAGCATGATGCTATCTAAAGTGTGCGTGTTAGTCTCCATAGGGAAATAGTTCCTCTGCATTTAACCCATTCACCCAGTGAAGCAGTGGGCAGCCACCAGTGCAGCGCCCGGGGAGCAGTGTGTAGGGACGGTACCTTGCTCAGGGGTACTTCAGGGTAGCCGTTCAGTGGAGTCGAACCCCCAACCTTCCGATCATGAGGCCACCACTCTACCTACTGAGCTACCCCTGCCCCCTATGAAAAATAGACAGTATATTATGATCAAATGTGATCTCTTATTAATCATCTAATCTTAATATTCTCTGTTCTAGATGCTCCAATGCTTCCTTCTGTGTCAGTGAGTCCCTCTGGTGAAATAGTGGAGGGCGGTTCAGTCACCTATAGCAGTGTTGCTAACCCAACAGCTAATTACACCTGGTACAAGGAGGATGAAGACTCAGAAAAAGCATCAGGACACAACTTCACCATCACTGACTTCAGACCTGAACACAGTGGGAGTTTTGTTACTGTGAACTGAGTGTGCAAAGCAGTAATCAAAGCAAAGGGTGGCAATTTTGAGGAATCTATAACATGAACATGTTTTGAGTTATTTCACACTTTTCGTTTACTACATAATTCCATATGTGTTCGTTCATAGTTTTGATTCTTTCAGTGAGAATCTACAATTAAATAGTCATGAAAAGAAAGAAAAAACATTAAATGAGAAGGTGTCTCCAAACTTTTGACTGGTAGTGTATATTCTAACCAGTGCAAAGAAAATATAAAAATGTTTAACTTTCTGCAGTTGTGTTAAGAGAGTAAACTTAGTGACAGCAGTTACTGATGATACCCAATGACAAATAGCATGACCCTATAAATCTAATCTCTCGACTAAGACATATCTCCTTTGTGCTTTTCTCAATTTATAGGAAAATCTGTAATAATATTGAATATCATCAGATTGACTCTGGTGGTACTGATGCTGATTGCTCTCTTCGTGTTGGGTCTGTGGATGAGGTAACACATTTCTTTTTAAAAAGAAAGAAAAACAGTAACAACAGTGTCATAATTGCTCTTTTATGTCCATCTTAAAACCTTCAGTTTTAAAGTCATGAATTCTTTTTAGTTTAATACCGTTTTCTTTTTGTTGGATTAAATCCAGAAAGAAGACACATGTGGCCTTAGAAACTGGACCAAATGAATCTGTAAATGTCATCAAAGTAAGAGGTTCTACTGATACAACATGTGTTATGATAGATGTATGATAGTTTCTATTGCACTAGAATAGAAAAATAAGTGATCCAAAAATAAATGTAAATAAAATTAGGTAGGATAATGTGAAGTTCTTTAAGTATTACTAAAGTATTTAGTTTTGAATGTTATCAAAAACATACAGAAAGCTCTCTCGCTCTCTCTCCATCAGGTAAACACTCGTGCTGATTATGAGAACGTCTCAGCCTCACAGGGCATCACTGCAGACGACACTGAAGAGCAGGAAGAGCTGCAGTGAAGTCCAGTCATGTTAGAGACTTGCGTATAAAAGAAACAGACTGAAACTCATGTTGTTTAGATGGTGTTTAATCAGACGTTAGAATGATGACAGAAAGAGAAAAGTTAAGGAGCACGGTCTCTGCCTCTGTGGAGGATGTTTTCATGGACTGTGCTGTTTGGCTGAGGATCAAATGCAGTATTCATAGATGAGGCTAAACTTAAACATCAGCTTTATTTCTGAAACTTCCTGAAAACTTTTTAATTTAAATTTTTTGATTTAGTGAAATTATTTAATATCCTGAACTAGTTTTGGTGTGAAGCACTGTAACTCAGCAGTTTCCACACTGCTTGGTGGTAAAATATGAACACGTGTTGATTCCTGCTTTATTTTTCCATTCAGATAAATACTGCTGACGTATACTGCTGGTGTTTTCATTCCTGAGAATAATTATGTAAAGGGATGAGCTGACTGAGAAATTGTTTGTGGTCTGTCTTTGGTATTAATGTAAATACATTTTATTATTTGTCAAGACAAATGTTTCCATCCTGCATGAGCCTTGTTTAGGAAGAGCTAAAGGAACAACAGCTAAAGGACACACAGACCTCCTCCTTCCCCAAGAGCACCTGGCTGCAGCCACTGTGGAGCTCCACAGCAAGCGGAAACACGTGACCTTGACCAAACCCTTCTCCTCTTCCCAGCCACCTCCTTCAGTGTATCCATCTGTCGTTCTGTCCAGTGGGAAATGGCCAAAACACCTGACCCACGAGGCATCCTTGTCAGATGCCTAAAGTACCTAAACTGCCTCCTTTCAAGGTGGAGGAGCAGCGGCTCTACTCGGAGCCTCTCTCGGAGGAATAAATTCATCACTGTATCTCTAAAGGAGAGGCCAGCCACCCGTCAATGAGTACTCTGCTGTTAAATTTAACAGATGCAGCACAGCCCTCAGTTCAGGAGCATCTCACATAGAAATATTACAAATTCTTTTTGACATTTTCTGATTTTCTTATAACATGTGTCTGTGTATTAATGGCAATGATATCATCTCCTCTCTTTTTCTGTCTACAAAAATAAAAAGTTCATAATTCATCTGCACTGCACTCCAAAGTCAACAAAACCTGGCTCATATTATTACTTGAATCTGCCGTACTGTCATGCTGTGCATATCCTACAGTCTACTGTTTACAAATCTACTCACTTCTCTTGCTGAGGAGAATAAACTTGGACCACCACCACCTGCAGGTGTGGAGGATAATGCACCAAGACCTCCTGTGTTGTGTCTCAGCGTGGCACTGCAGATAAGAAATCATTACAGTGAGTATTTAAACCTGTCCAGTGAATCACAGGTATCGCACAAAACTCAGTCATATAGATCTGCAGAACAAAAACAAAACACCCTGCTGACCTGTCCATTTTTGATTATAAATTTGCAGCCTGGATTCACTCGAATGTGGAAAGAGAATTTATCCCAACATTGAAAGAGCAAAGAAGAACTGCAGCCAACAAAGTTTTCTAAAAGCTTTCCTAATCAATCAATCAATCAATCAATCAATCAATCAATCAATCAATCAATCAATCAATCAATCAATCAATCAATCAATCAAGAAAAACCACGCACGTATTAAATAGGATATGCCAGTCTTCAAAAGTCAGCAAAAGATGACTGAAAAAAAAATGCATTGCACATGTAATGCACATGTCATGCAGTGACCACTATTGGCCAAAGCAGACAAAGCAACCTCATTAGTTAACTCAATTACTTTTTTATTTATTTATTTTTACTTACTAGCTCAATCGAGACTCAATAACTCATTTACAAGGGAGACCCGCTTCAGACAAACATGTTACAATTAAAACAATATAATAACAAGAAATTAAAAATTGTCACAGTCATATCAAAACCAGGAGCACGTTCCCAGTGATGATGTCACCAGGTCGGTTGTACGTCTTTTTTAAGTCTGCAAGTGAAATCAATTAAGAGAAGATTTCCTTAGAGGAGAGAAGTTAAGACGATTCTATGAAGGGAATAGTCAAATAGTCCATACATATTATTTTATTTATTTGTTTTTGTTATGAAATTATTAACTTTATCACCATAAAATACGGTTTGCTTCACAAGGCACTTATAAACGTGTTCGTTTTCTAGCATTAGTTTTGTTTGTTTCTGACACCAAAGAATATAATTCAGTCAGCCTCTGACCCCGCCTCCCCCTCCTTATTTCATGATTTGGTTTGGTCCATGTGCACGCGTTCTTAGCGATACAGAGATAGCGCTGCAGTAGGATGTCTCTGTTATCAGTAAAGTCTGAGTTTCGAAAAAGAAAAAAAGAGACAGGCAGAAATTAACTTGATGGACTTTCCTAGTTTTAGTCAGCTTGCTTCATTTCTGACAGAAAATAATGTGTTGGTTGTTTTAGCCAACTTGTAATTGGAGGCAGAACCTTTGTACATAAGCAGGTGAGTTCTTTTATGCCAAAATGTGTCTAAGGGGGCACCTTAGGAATTTTTATCATCATAGCCTACATAAAGAGAGAAGTACTGTTACAGGTGATCAGAGTTTTCAGTGAGCTAAATCAGATTAAAACCTTTGCTTTATAGGTCTCAGGACAGACATATTAGTTTGCTATACTTTGCTTGAAAGTTGATATTCAAAGGATTATTCACATTTGCCAATATGTAGTATTATAAATACAAATGTTCAAGCAGTAAAAAATACTTAAAATACTAGAATTTTAGAAAATATTAAAATGTAAAAAGTGGTTTCTACATATCTCATCAGTCTTGCACAACATTATAAAATCTATTTATATTATCTATTTAATCTATTTATGAGAATATTGATCCAGGTCTGCACAGTGTTATATTTTCAGAGCTGGCATGGTTTACAGTATTAATGTGGTGGGGCCTAAAGTTTTATATATATTTATTTTTGCATGGGACACCAAATCTGTGCTTACACCACTGCAGCCAAACCAGCATTTCGTGCTCTATATGTAGCAATTACATACCAAAGATCATAATAGGTTGGTGTGTAGTATAAAATATGACATATTATACCAAGACTGAAAAAACTTGAAATGTACCACATTTAAAACCAGGAAGTTACAAAAAATTCAACTGTTTAACACTGATCGGTATCAGTGCCTGATCAACAAAGCACGGGTAGATATGACTACATATTTCCATTAATATGGTGCTTAGCTATTTTACTCTGGCATGCAAGACCCGTTTTGCTGCAACCCAGTCTGTGTTAAATGGTTGTTAATAATTAAGAACAAATAAACCAACATTACCTGACAAAAACAGAAAAGCTGTTGTTATGAAAGGTCAGCAAGTAAGATCTTAGGTGCCCCGTTTCACAATTATATTGCTTCATTAAGGTTTATAAAAAAAATAAATTACTTTGAAACTGTGGGCTGGTCAAGGAAAAGCAAGATCCTCTTTGGACCAAGATTATATTTAGGCACTAGTTACACACACATGGGTTTGAATAAAGGCTGACTGCCAGCATCTGTTTAACTGGTTAGATTCTGTACTGTAGGCTACAGTCAGCCACGCAAAGATGATACTACTTATTGTAATTCATTTTTTTCTATAGAAAAATATAAAACGAAACTTGTCTCAGTTTAGAACAAAAAGAGTTTTAAATACCACAAGGAGTAATTTGAAGCTTAAACAGGAGGACAACCACCAACATCACCGGATTAAAGCACTGATACAACTGTGAGGAGTGTGACTGATTTACTCAAGAATTTTACTGTAATTCTATCTCATACCATTTTTAGCTTTTATGTCACTGTATTTTGGATGAAAATACTGTACTTATTCCAGATTATTTGAAAGCTTTAGCTGCCTGTTATTTACAGATAATGGCATCATTATCAGTCAGGCTATTCAGCAATATATAAGTACTGTTAAATCACCGAGTTCTTTAGATTCCTCAGAGGCATCCGATGGAAGACAAAACACTGCCGCGGATCTCAAAATGGTGGTGTGCCCCTACCAGTTTTATTGCAGGGCGTTCCACTCTAGTGTAAAGAAAGGTGTTTCACAGGCATTCAGTAGTTGTATTGCACAGCATACTCATAGGTTATTGTGTATTGGATGCAAAAACATCTTTTCTCAGCCCTGGCGAGGCTGTGTCCTTGCCAAAACCAGAAAACAGTTCCCTGTTATGTCAATTTTGCAGCCAAGCGTAGGCGAGTCTCTCCTGCACACTAACGTGTGAGAGAGTCTCCTATATTCTATCACCAAAGGACACATAGTCTAATGCCTTTATTTTTCAGGGCTGTGTCCACTTAATACTATACTGTATAACTTTATAACACTTATTAGTAAAAAGCATAGCATTATTGAGGCACTGCAAATTATTCCAAACAGTCCCAACAATCCCAACAATACGCAAAACATGAAAAGGATAAATTATATAATACTTATTTAATACTGTATATAATAAAAAATGGTGTTCTATACGAGTGCTATATGAGTATAGTAAATGTATTTTGATTACAAAAGATGCATTAATAAGTCTAAATGTTTTTAGATAAATACTTAGTAATTATCTAATACAAAATTATATTTAAAGTCTTGTTCAGCCCCACTTGTCACATAATAAATCTGTAATAGAACAGGGCTTGTTTCTAATGTCTCTGTAAAGCACTTTGAATCACCTTGTTGTTGAATTGTGCTATACAAATAAACTTGCCTTGCCTTGCCTTGCCTTGCCTTGAAAAATCACACCCTTACTTACATTCTTTCTTTGCCATTTTTCTGGAAAATATATGGGTTAAAAATTAAAAAAGGAAAATAAATAAGAGTAATTTGTAACTTAAAAACAAGACAATCCTTTAAAACCTGGGCCACCTTTGCAAAACCGGCATGCAGTTATATGCATAATGGGTTGCATACAGTTGTACACTCAGAAATGTAGCCACATGTATGATAGTGCAAAAATATCTGTCTTAGATGGCATAGTGTAAAAAACAGGATTAAATATGGATTTCTTTTCCAGTTTTTGAATCAGATCATGATTTTAAAACTACTGTAGGTACACAAGCTGAAGTCTGACAAATCTGCCCATATGCTCCAAAATCAGCATCTTCAGTTATCCTGCCAAGATGCCAAAATGTGGTTGTATATATGTGGTTGTACATTAAACTTTTTGTTTTGGTGTTAAATAGAACCCTTCTTAGTCTCGAAGTATTTGAATCTTTCAGGCCGCACACCATATATATTTATTTTGACATCCATGGTATTTTGTAATATTAGAAATGTGATACTAGTTTCAATGTAAGCACTCTGGACATGAGACAAGAGCTGGAAATTCAAATTGCTTTCATTAAATACATTGTCATTGGACTCTTAGAGGTGATTACAGGAGACCTTTACAGTAAATCTGTTCATGGTGTTGTTAACACATTTTGCGGTAATTGTAGGAGCAAAGAGTGATTGAAATACAGTGCCTTAAAAAGTTTTCATACTCCTTGAACTTTTACAAATGTTTTCAACTTATAACCAAAAACTTGTGGTTTTTTATTTATTTAGACTTTGTGTGATAGACCAACACAAAGTAGCACATACATGTGAAGTGGTATGACATTGTCTTGCTGGAGGGTGAATCTTCCTCCCAGCCTCCAGCGGGTTTTCTTCCAGGATTGCCCAGTATTTAGCCCCATCCATCATTCCATCAACTCTGACCAGCTTCCCTGTTGAATTTCTCCTTCAGAGTGACCATGAGCCTCTCTGACCAGTGCTGTCCTTGCTCGGTCTGTCAGTTTAGGTGGACGGCCATGTCTTGGTAGGTTTGCAGTTGTAGCGTACTTTATCCATTTTTGGATGATGGATGGAACAGTACTCCTTCAGATGTTCAGATCTTGATTCCACTGGATTTTACTTAAGGTGTATCAGAATTCAAGAGCATGAATACAAATACACGCCACACTTTTCAGATTTCTATTTACTTAAAATTTGGAAAACTATGTATCGTTTTCATACCAGTTCACAATTATGTGCTACTTTGTGTTAGTTTGTCACAGAAACTCTCAATAAAAACATTGAAGTTTTTGGTTGCAAGGTGGCAAAATGTTAAAGTTGAAGGGGTATAAATA